TACGAAAACATTGTTTAATCTAAAAAAACCTAAGGTATGACAGAAAACAGAACCAATTGCAAGTAGTGACCTACCCATACCTCCATTAATGCAGCAACTGCAAATAAAATATCCATTTATGTCTATTCTTTTTAAGTTTTGCCCATATGAAAAATAAAACAATACTTTGTAACCTTAACCACTAGGGGTGCTAAACCATTAGCCACTGGGTTTAGCTCACCTAAAAGCAACTATCAGGTCTGCACTGTTGCAGTGATGCATTTAGATTACCGTGAGATTGAGAAGTCATGGGGTTATTTGTTAAGGCAAGGCACCATTCACTTCTCTACATCAAATCCTACATAAGAGCAGGGCGGACCTAAACATCCTCATCATCAGGAGCTTAGCCCACAACCTCAAAGGAGTAATTAGAACGACATTTGAATCTGAACATATTTGGTAATGTACCACAATATCACTTGCTAAGCAGGTACAGTATTACTAGTGTAACATTTTTAACATGATTTCATGCAAATTGGCCTCAAATGTCATAACTTTAACTCCCAGGTTGGTTCTTGCTGGTGAACCACCCATCCAAACCAGCTGATTAAAACTGCAGCATCTAAATACTCTAATATTTAAGGCAGGTTTACTTTCACTTAAATGGAGATAGTTTGACAGTCTGAGCACTTTTTGCTTGGCCTCCCACTTTCAATAAATGAGTAGATAAGTGCTGCAAAGACTCTGCACCAACCTCCTCTGCTGCCAAAGCCACAGTAAGGGGCTATGATGCTTACTTAACCAGTGCCCTGCTTTAGACCAGACCAAGTTTAGAGGATATTTATGTTGTACGAACAGGCTTTTTTGACACTGTTTGTTCATAATATAAATATATAATTATTTTTCAACCTTAATGAAAATAATAGTAAAATACTAAAAGCGACAATAACAAAGAACAGGAAGTTCCCTAAGCAACACCTCATCTACCAAATAAATATCTGATCAGGTAATTGTCGTATCTGTTTGAGAATTTTGCTTACTTTCAGGAGTTGAATAAAGTCACAGAAAACAGTAATGTCCTTTTTCTTTATAGAATTTGGGCTAGCTGAGTGTTAACCACTGTACTTCTATCTGACAAAAAATATAAATATACTTGCATTTCAAGTACTGTTGAAGTTTTATGTAAAGTTTTAACTGACCTGTTGTTCTATCTATTGCAGGTTTCACTGCTGGGGAAGGAGTAAATGTATTGTCTGCCTCCATGGTCATGTCAAATGTTTGACCTGATGTAATAAATAAAATCAGATATGCACAATAATGGTCAGGACTTGTGTAAGAAAAAAAAAAATACCATCAGTTCTAGTAATGAAAGTTGAGACTTGAATCTATTTCTTCGACATCAGCAACAGCAGATAATGCCTTTACCATCCATTTCATGAATAAATATATATCTGATATTACAAACTGATTTGAAAACACAAGAAAATTATAGTGAACCAAAGTGATCTGTTTAAATCTATCAGATTTAAACAGGATTTCAAATGATTTACCTCAACATTTCTACTTCATCCTTGGGTACAATATATATATATGCCTAAAGGTGACAAATTTATTTATTTAAAATGTCCTACAGAAACAGCATGAAGATGGTTAACCATTAGTGTTAATGAAGAAGGACAGATCAGTGTGTTTAGTGTCAACTGGTGGATTCAAACCCAGAACCAAAGTTGCTGGTTGAAGCTTTTAAACTGTTTTTTTATAAATAAAAACAAGTACTGTACCAACACTTGCTGAAAACCACTAAGCATAGAAGAAGAATATAATTCAAAATTAATATAAAATTTATATTTCAGTTTGCAAATGGAATCAGAAACAAAACTGTTGTTTTCTGTGAAAATGAATGATGGACTCTACAAATAGTTGGCTTAATGAGGAAATAAAACAGTGTGGACATTTTGAGGCAAAATCACAAGACAAAGTAGGAAACCAAAAGTTACTGAAGACAAAGGGTTCTTTCAATGCAGAGGGCGACCCAAAGTAAATTGTCAAATTAGTTATGAAATGGATCAAAATGAAATGCATGTATTTTTCATCACAACACTCTGATCTCTATTCTATTAAAAGTTAGGCTAATAGGATGTGTGAGTAATGTACCCTGTTAGGAGGGACAGGCCTAAAGTACAGTAAACTATAGTGAGAAGTTTGTAGTGGAAATGGATAAGATTTGGTTAATTTAAATTCTATTAAAACGTTCAGTTTTCAATATTCTGGTAATTTCTTACAGTAGTTGTGACACAAAAGCAAAAATAAACAAACCTGTAAGGAGGGACTTGCCAAAAACTGTAACAACTGCAAGTGCAGTAAAAAATTCCCTCTGATGCATATTTTTGAATAGTTTTCTCTAAAACTTTTCTATAAACAAAAAAAATTGGGTTTTTTTGTTTAGTTTTTTCTAGTATTATGAATCATAACTGTCTTTTTTTTATTGTTTGAAATAACATTTTAAGTCTGAAAACCTGGAGGTCATTTTATTAGTAAAATCTGTAAAGAGATAAAACAAAACCCTGAGTCTTAAATCATTTTGATGTGTAAAAAACAACAACAAAGAATACGTGAAGGCCACTGTCAGAAGAGGGATGGTTCACTAACAAGGTTGTTTCTCATTATATTAACGTTTGTTAAAGTCTTTACCTTACCAGAACCAAAGAATGATGTTTAGGGCCTTAAAAAGGGTTAATGAGATTATCTGGTGAGGTAGAAACTAAACCAGAAATGTTAACTGTTGTTTTTCTACTCACGTCTCAGGCAAATCATATTCAAGTGTCTTGTTTACGCACAGGTGCTTATGCTAACTCTGACACATCCGAAAGATACTACGATTTTGGAGAGAGGGGTATATTGGCAACACAAATGCTGACTGACAGGAACCAAAGCCCGATTGCATGAATTCTTTTCTTAAACATTTAATTTCCCTTCACAAAAAACAGATAAATGCTGCAATAGTCACAGATGGTAAAAAGAGCCTGATTAAATTCTAAATCAAAGTTTACACACATTTAAACCCCCTCCATCAGACTCTCACTGTCTTCAGCAAGACAGTATGAGTCAAACCACGAATCAATGAATAAATGAAACAAAGAGGGAGGAATTTACATGAACTGTTGTAAACATTTAAATACAATGGTGCATTATGGATAATTTAGCCATTCCGGACAGTTTGGATGTTGGAGAATTATGAGCAAACAAATTTTTTTAGCAACTGACTATTAGCCTGGGTGCCATTCCGAACTTAGTCCCGCCCACAATGTTTGAGGTCGGGAAGTTCGTCTGGCATTGCTCAGTAGTAGCGCGAGTATGATCGCACAATATCTGGCGGGCCATTCAAATTGTCAGGGCGGGCTTTATACGATGATGGACAGATGATCAACAGTAACGTAATCAACCACGTGACCAAAGCGCGCATGGGCTACAACAACAATGGCTGCCGCTGGAGAGTTGAGGTGTGTAGATTCTGCTATTAGGTCTGTTCTAGAAGATATCGACAGCAAATTAATTTTACAAGAGGAACAGAGAAACGCGATCAAGGCTCATCTTCTTATTCTAGGCGTGCAACTGCACGCTTT